GAAAGTGGTGGGGGACTGCTTGCTACTTGAATTAAGGTAATCTGAAAGTTCTTTCAAAATCAGATCTTTCAAAACTTACCTGTCCCCATCCCACACCTTCAGGGCAGCAGGTAGCTGGTGTCTTAATACTAACTCCAATATGGTTGCAAACTGATGCATTTTTGGGAGAATATGCCTTGGCTCAGAAGCCTGAGGCTTTAGCAGAAGAATTTTAGGCAGCACAGATGGCAGTTAGGAAGATGTTTGGGGGCAGCGGCCCCCCTGAAGCAACGTGGGCAGCTGCCCTGTCTGTTCCCAGCATGGCCTACAGGCTTAGAGAGTCTGATTTCAGATGCCCAGGAAGGATCGGCCTCCGCCCCTCACCAGCACCCAAACAATGACTGAAATGCAGTTCCTGGTGCGTAAAGACAGCCCTTCTTCTCGGAGCTAGAAAGAACATCAAGCCACAAGTGCCTCTGAGAGCGGATATTGGGTGCCAGGCTCTAGCAGACCCCTTCTTGGGAGGGGAGTTCTATTTAACTATTTATTTACTGTGGAAATTTTCAAACATATGTAACAGTTCAATAGCATAAAGAACTCTCAGGCTCCCGTGCACAGCTCAAGAGTCATCAGCTCATGGCTCCTCTCGTTTCAGGCCCACCCCCTTCCTGCCCACCGGAATACTCTGAAGCAAACTGGGGCTGCAGAAAGGGCTTCCTCCTGCTCTTCCAGTAAGCGGCCTGAGGTCACCTCTGAAAATGGTTCGCTATCCCCTTGACCCAGAAAACCCCACAGAATCACACGAATCAAGACGTTCAAATCTCCGTGTTCACTTTCAGCACTCTTGTAAAACTGCCCAGGCCATTAAGGGCATGCATATCTGAAAAGCCACCAAGTATCTGACGGATGTCACATTACAGGAGCAAAGGGTGCCATTCCATCATCACAACGGTGGAGTTGGTAGGTATGCCCAGGCCCAACAGTGGGGCTGGACGCAGGTCGGAGGCCAAAAAAAGAGTGCTGAATTTTTGCTGCACAGGCTTAAAAATGCAGAGAGTAAGTAATGCTGAACTTAGGGTTTAGATGTAAACTGTCTGGTCACTGAGCACAGCCAGGCGAACAAAGCTCCCAAGATGCAGTGTGGAACTTACAGAGCTCGTGGGCGGGTTAACCCATATGTGAGCTCTCCCTGCCACACTGAGGGGAGCCACACTGAGAAAGAGAAGATTGTGCCTAAACCCGAAGAGGCTGCACAGAAGGAAAAGATCTCCCAGAAGAAACAAAAACTTATGGCCCGTGAGTAAATTTAGCATAAAATAATGACTAATAAAAAGCAGGGAAAAAGGGGCGGAGGGCTTCCTCTCAATCAAACCTGGAAAAGGAAGACTCCAGAAGTGCAGGCTAGGGAAGCCAACAAGGAGGGGTTTGGGGCAGGAGGGACCCTGAAGTTAAGGAGGCCCCAGGGTGAGCTGCCCCCAGAATGGGGGCTCCTGGTTCAGGAGTGCAGGAGCCTGGCTGAGGGAGCCGAGCCCCATTTCCTGCCCCAACTCCACCTCTCTTTGTTTTCTATCCTTCCTCTTTCCCCCCTCACTTGTAATAAAAACATAATTACCAGCTTTATAAAAAAAAAAAAAAAGGCAAATTATGGTGACATGCTTTAATTATCTGCCGAGCAATGGCGGGCTGAATTACACAGGCAGGGCCTTGGAGGTTACCTAAAAATAAAGCAAGAGGCCTCATTAGATGCTAATTGCTGCTTTTGCCAACTGAAGTGAGATTTTGGCACTGTGTGCCATTCAGTGCTAGGGTTTCTGAAGGGAGGTCCAAGCCTCGTGAAGCTCTGAGTGCCAAGGACATGCCCTGGGGAACAGCCAGGCAGCGAAGGGCAGGCAGGAAGGCAGGTAAGAGCTCTAGGGTCCTGGAAGAGGGCCCCAGTCTCTCCTTGATGTTCGGTAGGCAGGTGGAAACACAGGCTGAGAGGAGGGAGCTGCAGGCCCCAGTGAAAGCATCAAAAGGAAGGGCCCATAAGTATCCTCCGGCTGCAGAGGGGCCACACAGCCTCCTGGAAGCTAAGCATCTTCCCGTGGGCTCCCGAGGACTCCTCCCTGGGCCTGGAGGCTGGGGAGGGGCCCAGCATCACATTCTCATGAGGATGTGAAAGTGTTTGCTGCTGGTAGAATCACCTGGAGCCTAATCTTTTCATTCCACCTTGAGGAGACCAGCCCTGGGGACTGCCACTGAGCACCCCAGGCCTCTGGCTGGGAAGCTGAAGCCTCAGAGGCGGGGGGAGCCCAGAGCCTGTGGGGACCCTGTCGCCCCTCTGACAGAGTAAAGGTCTCTGGGGGCTGCCAGCTCTCTGTCCCACATGGGCCCAGGGAATTAACATTACAGGACAGAGAGCAAAGGTGAGCAGCCAGCTGGCCCAGGAAGGGCCCCCAGGTCTTCTCCACCACCAGCACCAGAGCAGGCCTCACCCGTCCCCCCTGTGAACCTCAGCCCTGCCTTCACTGGCCTGTACCTTCTAGATCAGGAGTCGGCAAACTTTTGAGACAAAAGAGCCTCCAGGGGTCAGCAAACTGCGGCTCGCGAGCTGCAGGCTGTGAAGTAAAATTAAAAATAAAAATAAAACTATCATAGTACCCAAAGAGCTGCGTGTGGCTCACGAGCCGCAGTTTGCCAACCCCTGTTCTAGATGATAAGTGGCACCCTCCCACACTGCTGCAGCAAGTCTGACGTCCAAAAGCGTGCTGGGCACTGGTTCCTCCTTTCCATCTCAGGCCTATGGAGCCCACACACCTCTCCTCTGTACCCCAGACTCAGCGCTCAGAATTCACACCCCACCCAAGCTTTCCCACTTAACCCATTCCTTTCCCATAATTAAGTTACTTTGAGACCATCAGCGTCTCTAGGCTGTTTGGCTCCCTAAGGGCTGTGTCTCCCCCATCAGGCTGGTGGACCCTGAGAGCAGGGCCTGGATGTCCCCTCCCCACCTCCCCCCTCTCAGAGCCCCAGGCAGGCTGGACGAGGCCAAGTCCCAGGAGTGCCTGATGGGCCTAAGCCCCACCAGGAGCCTGCCCTGGCTCTAACCCTTGGTTTCCTCCTCCTCCCCGGGGAGGCTGGGAAGACTGACCTTGGCCCCCACTGGCCTCTTCTGAGTGCTGGGGGGAGTAGAGGGGGCAAAGCACCCCCTTGGAAAGGTGATTCTCCCCCCCTGGATCCTAGATAGGGGCTTCCACAGATGTGGGGGTCACCTGGGAAAGTCCTAGCCTAACTCTTGGGTTCTGGGCCAGGCTTTCTGCCTAGCCTTGGGCCTCAGCATGGCAATCACCATGAGAGGGAAATGGGCCAGAGAGGGAACAAGGCGACCAGGCTAGGGTTGCTGTCAGGGAGTCACCAGGGGGAGAGCTGGCCACACTCCCCTTCTATAATCCACCCCCCACCACACACACACACACACACACACACACACACACACACACAAACACTGCCCCGGAAGCTTCTGGCAAACATCCTTGGTCTGACAACCTAGTTTTGCCTGATTAGCCTGAGTAGAATCTATTCTGGGCCTTAGTGTCTAACCGTGAAAGCAAGACCATCAGTGAGGGACACTCACTTTTCCCCCTCCTTCCCTCACACAAATATTTATCGGGTGTACAGTAGTTTGCTGTACGGTCTCACACAGACCCTCCAGGTATATTTCCTGAGCATAAGCATGTTCACATGAGACCAGCCTCCTCTCAGGAGTAAGATGGGTTTACCCAGGGGGCCACTAACCCCTGGCACAATTTAACACCCCCCCGCCTCACCTCCACACACACCTTCACATCCAGCCCCTGCCCGACTCCCACCTGGGGGTCCCGCAGGCCCTTGGCCAGTGCCCCACCCCTGGTCAGCCTAGGAGGCAGGTGGTGGGACCGGAGGAGGTGGCCCAGGCAGCCTGGGCCCCAGCTGCTGCCTGTGGCCTCATTGTGTCACTGGCTCTATAATTTACCCCTGGCAGGGCCCAGCCCATAAGCCACTCCCCACTCCCTATGTCCAACCTGCCAGGGAAGCCAGCTGCTGTGAACACACACTCCGCACTTGCTGCCGGCCTGGGACAGGCCTCCCAGTGCAGCTGGAACGTGGCTTCACACCCACTTCGTTATAAACAGACAGACAAATAAGTATACACACGGAGCTGCCAGGGGTACGCACACACAGAGTTATGGGGAGCCACACACAAGCACTTGCACCTGGCCCACCGGGACACACGCCACACGCTGATCTCTGGGACAGACACATATCTTAGCACCTGTGACCTGGAGACAGCACAAGCAGGAGGGGGAGAGCTGTGGGTGCTGGGAGCCCTGGAAGCCAGTTTCTCAAGAGGAGAGTTTCCTGGCTGGAAGGAGAGGCTCAGATGATGGGGTGGGGGTGGGGGTCCCAGGTGTAAAGGATGTGAACCTGAGGAGAGGCAGGGCAGAAATGGTACCTTCCTTAGGGGCTGCTGAGCAGAGGGCAGAGGGCAGGGACAGAGCATCCCCTTACCAGCAGGGGCTGATTTCCGGAATCTTCCACAATGTCCTGGCCCCGCCCTGCCCAAGGCCTCTCCACACCCCGACTCAATGCCAACCCAGGAGCAGCCTCCACGCCCCCAAGCCCTAGGTCTCCATCACCCAGCACCTTCCCTCTCAGGTCCTCTGGCTGCAGGTTGGGCCTGAGGTCCAACTGCCAGACTCTCAGTGGATGTGGAGCCGGGGTGCAAAACCATGTGTTTATTAGAAATGTTCTTGGTATAAAAACAATCATGCGCTACACATTGTCGCCAATAACCATCACCAAACACCCAGGCACTGAACTCCGTGTCATCAGCAGGAGGGGCAGGCGGGCAGGACACACAGCAGACGGGCAGGGGCAGGCGGGCAGGCTGCGGGCCACAGGGACACACACAGAGGCCACCAGGAGGACGCAGCACTTTGCAACACACTCAAGATTTGTTTTTGTTTGGCTTTTTTGTGTTTTGATTTTTTTTTTCCTTTTTTCTCTTTTGTGACATGTAAGATTTGGTGAATTGGGGGAGGGTGGTAGGGAGAGGATAGCAGAGGCTGGACATAAATGAAGGTGGGGAGGGGACTGAGGACAGGAAAGAAAAACATACAAGAGGAAAACCACAGGCAGAGCACAGGAGAAAAACAGGAGAGACCTGGAGACAGAGTTCATGAGCGAGAGGAGGCAGAGGCAGAAAGAAAAAAGATACAGAAAAAGCAGAGCGCGCAGACAGAGACAGAGAGAAAAGAAGGTGATACCAAGAGATAAGAGAAAATAAAGACAGGGATGGAGACAGACAGAGGTCACCAATGGGACAGGCAGAGACATAGGGAGAGAGGAAAAACCAGCGTTGGGGCCCATGCTACCTAAGCCCCTGTGATTTGGGGCCAGGAAGGGCTCTGGTCCAAGACGCAGGCTCTTGGGGTGGCTGAAGCTGCCCCAGCCCCTCCTCCTCCTCCTGTCGCCTCCCGGCTTGCCCAGGCTACCCAGCAGTGACCGCTGGGGTTCTGCTGTCCTCAGCACCAAGCCACATCCGTGGGCACCCATGGGTAGGCAGGACATCAGCTGGGCCCCTGGGAGTGGCCCTGGCATCATCCACAAGGGTGTCTGTTCCTCCTCCTCCGTTCGCTCCAGCAGCCTAGAGTGCATGGTTGCTGTAGGTGACGTAGGTCTGTTTGGTGGCCAGCACTAGAAGGAGAGAGACCAGGGGTAGCCAGGAGTTAGGGGCTGGCTTCCGCAAACCCCCTGCTGCAGGCACTGCCCTGCCCATGACATCAGGTCCAGACCCCTGATCTGAGCAGTCCACATCCCCCCAACTGTGCGCCGGCCCCACCCTGCCCACCCCACTGCTTCCTCTGATGTCCCCCCACTCCCTGCACTGGGTCCAGCCTTCCAGTGTGTCCTTCCCACCTCCACACCTTTGCTCGGGCAGAGCTGCTTGCCTGGAGTGCCCTTCCTTCTTCACCTGTCACCCTAGATACGACCCCTCCTCTGAGCACTCCTTCCCAATCCCCACCCCTCCGTGGGGTTCTCCCCTCAACAGAGCCCCTGCCTTCTCCTGACTCCACCACAGGTCAAGAGGATCATTTTTTTATTTGTGATGTAATTCTATATTCTTAAAACACAGCTGACTCTTGATCAACACGATTTGAAATTCGCAGGTCCACTTATACATAGTTTGAGTTTTTTCCAGTAAATACCTGCTCTGTTTTTGATCTGTGGTTGGTGTCTGCTGACATCAGAGCCCAGTGTATGCACCGATTACAGCATTTTATACAGGGGGCTTAAGCATCTGCAGTGTTTGGTACCACAGCGGGTCCTGGAAGCAATCCCCCATGGATACCAAGGAACAATTTACATTTTGGGGGAGTCAAAAGTTATACATGAACTTTTTGACTGCATGGAGTGGGAGGTACCCCTAACCCTCGGGTTGTTTAAGGGTCAACTATATTATCAAAGGGTAGTTTTCAGAAGCTCAACAGCACACACTCTGGAGAGCACGTGCCAAGAATATTTGGAGACTAGCAGCCTAGAGGGAGTGAGTGGGGAATGGGGACAGAGGAAATAAATAATGGAACCAGAGAGGAGCCTTAAGAAGCTAGAAACTGTGGCAACTGACTGACTCAGCCTTCTCCAAAGGCTCAAGGGAAATGGAAGTTCTCAGGTCCCCAGCCCTCTGTGCAGCCACCTTTCTCATCTGAGTGTCCCTGTCTCGCCTTAGCCTTGAGCCTCCTTTATCTGCACACATCACTCTGGCCCTTGCTCAGATCACCCACCACTGGGACTGAAGTCGCATGTCTGGGTAGCCCCCATTTCCCAGCCACAGCCTTCTTCTCCCACCCCCAGCTGGGTGACATCAGCTCTTATGGGCAGCATGAGTGCTCCCCCCACCTCCACCCTTCTGGGGTTCAGACCTCACAGCAGCCTAGTGAGGAGGCTAGATAAGTGACACCCTCCTTTGAAAAATGAGGAACTGAGGCCAGAGGGGTGAGGAGGCTGGCCAGGTCCTCGGTTTTGTACTGTCCTGCCAGAGTTCAAGGTGTCTCTCTGCGACCTGGGGGACAGCTCAGTGGAGAGGAATCAAGGGCAGAATTGCTTCCTAGGGTAGGGGCTGGTTTGCTGGTACAGAGTGAGGAGGCTGGATGGGAGAAAGTCATGGTGCCCTTTGTCATAAAGCTACCCTGACCCTCCAGGAGGATACTGCCAGCTCAGAAAAGGGGGCACATCTGTTGGGCTCAGCCAGGGGCATCTGGCCTGGAGAAGAGGACATTGAGGGGAGCAGTGTGATGGGCTGCACACTGTCCCCCAGTCCTCTTTCCCGTTTTTGCTGGGCTCAGGACTGCCAAAGTTAAGGACTATGTTTCCCAGCTTCCCTTGCAGCTACGTGTGGCCCTGCACAACCACATTCCCGCTGACACGTGACTAGAAGGGCTGTGTGCAACTTCCATGTCATTTGATTAAAATGAATTATTTCCTCTGCACCTCCTCCCTTTTGCCTTCTGTGGGCAGAACAGACATTGAGGGCAATCAGCCTCAGCCATGAGGATAAGTACAACCCTCCAGGAGCTGACGGAGCAACAAAATGGAGGGAACCTGGGTCCCCACTCCTGCCACCCACTGTGTACCATTATATCAGAGGGAAACAAACATCTATCGGATTGAGCCACTGCTCTGGGGCCTGTTTGTCACTGCAGCGTAACCAGAAGCCCACCGATACAGGCAGGATTGCTATATCCCACTCTAAGGGCTACAGCACGTGTGAGAAGAAGCAGTGCGGGATGGGGTGAGCAGAGGGGCGCACTATGGACCGGTGCGGAGGCGCGAGGGTCAGAGAGCAGCTGAGCTACAGGAGGCATTTCTCCTGGCCAGAGCTGAGAGTGGAGTGGGTGGAAATACTCAAGCAGAAGAGGAACAATCACCCAGCTGGGCAACACCAGGGAAGGTTCAAGTTTTAGGTGCCACCCAGACAGGTGCTAATGCAAGAAAATGGTGAGAATAAGAACACAACCCAGTATCTTACAGTGTACAAAGAATTCCCACCGTCACTACTAAAATGACCCATGTCCCTTCAGGGTGCTGGTGACCAAGAGGGAGGAAGGACCACAGGGCGGTCAGTTTTGATGGCGCAGCATCCAGTGAGGGGCCTGGGCGGGGGCACACTTGGGGAGGGGAGCTGAGTAACTAAAGGCTGGGACCCCGGGGTGACGGCTGCTGCAAGGCAGGTGGGAGGACATGCAGATCAGGACTCTGGAGACAGGAATCTCAGACTCCCTCTGTGACCTCAGGCAGCTCCTTCCCTGCCCAACTAGGGCCTGTTTCTCAGCCTGTAACACAAGAGGGGTGGCCCTTTTTACCTAGACTTCTTTTCCTGAGGGGCACTCCCCCCACCTCCCCATCTCTACCCCACCCTATCCCCCACAGGCAGAGAAAGGGCCGTCCGCCAACTCTGAATCCCACGCCTGCAGGCCACGCTGGTGAGAATCAGTTCCCCAGGGCTCCATCACCCCCTGCGTGAACTGGTAAAATTGAGTTTCCAAACCTGTAAACCTGTCAGCAGCTCCTGGCTCTGAGGTGAAGGAAAACCTCCGCAACAGCAGCGGCGGCAAAATCTCCACTAACTGCAGGGAAACGGAAGCCTGAGGGCCGCTGCTGAGGCACCACGGCCAGGTGAGGGAGAAGAGAAAGTGGCGGGAGGTAAGGGACATTTGGGCCCCTGTTGACCCTCTCAGACCAGAGCTGTCTCCAACAGAAAATCCAATCCAGGGCTTTCAGAGCCTGGAAGTGCATTCAAACCCCCAACTACAAGCCAGAGGCCCCACAGTCCTTCAGCAGGGCCTCAGTGTCACCATCTGGAAAATGGGAGCAAAGAGTGGGGGTGGGCAGGGAGGCATGAGCTGACTGAGAGGAGCACAAGGAAGGGTGCGGCCAAGAGCCAGGAGACGTGGGATCCAGTCCTACCCTCACCAGGACAGGGCATCTCAGCACCTGCCGTGCGGCCCTCCCAACAAACAACCTCTCGGAGCCTCCATTCCCTCATCTGTCAACTGGGGTGATCATTAACCCTTGGCTGGCTCTCGGCCACAAGGCGGATGAAATACTCTTTAAACCTTGCAAAATGATGGGCAAAGGAGCAGGGCTGAAATAACTCCAGCGATAAGGAGAGGATGGGGGGGCGACTCCCTAGGGGCATCCTCAGTATGAGGGGAAAGGACAGGGGGGTGTAGGCGGAGGGCCTCAAACCCATCCCCTGCTGGTGACAGGCCCTTGCTGCTAGTTTTCGGGCCCTGCCACCTCAGGGAACAATTAGCTGGGCAGCGACAGGCATAGCTGACAACCCCATTTGTTGCCCCCGTGTCTCCGCACCCAATCTGCCTGCAATCGGGCCCCTGAATTATTTATTCTGTTGTTTGTTTAAAGATACGTGGCCTGCCAGTGACAGAGTGAAAAATGTCCCTGCTCCACAGGACTGACACCTTCCCACTCCTCCCGCTCACACCCCCCTCAGTCTGGCTGTCCCTGGAATTAATCACCTGGCTCCTGCCTGGTGCCTCTATGGCCCCTGATGTCACTGAGACATGGTGGGGGCAAGGAGCCCTGGCCTCTGGCCCTCGCTTTGGGCTTGGGGGCGGCGGGCGGGGGGCGGAGAGGGCAGCTCTCATCCTTCCCTGGCAGGAAGCAGGGGACTGGGAACATTGGGCCTTCCCTTGCCATGTCTCCACACCCCTCCTTGTCTAGTGGAGGTGAGGGGTAGTTGTCCCGTCTCCAGGTGACCAGCCTGAGCAGAGGTAGAGGCAACAACGTCAGTGAGGTGCCACCAGAGCGCTCTGTGAAGGCCTGCCCTCTCTGGTTCCCTAGCCTGTCACAGCACCATGAGTGTCATCCTTTGGGGTCAGGGTGTCATCTCCAGTTAGACACCCGTGAGGACTAATGCCCCACTCACTCACGCGCCCCACAGCACAGCTGGTGTGGCAGACCTGTTCCTGCACCAGCAGAACATGGCCTGGAGGGACAGCCTGGGAAGGGTAAGTATCTGTGGAAAGGAGGAAAACGAAGTCCGGAGTGTGGGGCGGAGAGCAGGTGGGGCTCCTGCTTAGGGCAGAAGGGCCTGGTTAGGGGCTGCACTTGGGTATACACGAGAGGCCAGACGTCCTGCGGGGACACTGCTCCTTTCAATTTCAGAGTGGAGGGCCCGGGTGGCATCTGAAAGGGGTCCCAGGGCTGTAGGTACAGAGAAGCTGGTGCCCTGGGAGGAGGAACAGGACTGGAGACAACCAGGGGTGCTGTTAACATAGTCATCAGGGGTGTCAATCAAAGGAGGGGGTGCTTCTGAGACCAGAGAATGGGGGCAGAGAGGCCGTATGAAGTCAGGGTCAAGGGAAAGACACTGTGTGGGGCCAGCCAGCCACCACCTTGCTGTGTGACCTCAGGAGAGTCACTCACCTTCTCAGGGCCGCAGCTGGGGACCAAACCTCCAGCCTTACCCAGGCCTCACAGGGCTGCTGTGGTGATCACTCAAGTGAAAAATCCTGTTTGGATGTAGGAAGAAACTGTCCTTTCCACACTTGATATTCTCTCAACATGTGGGGCCTATGCTGAGAATGGAGGGGACAATGCTTCCCCGGAGCCCCGAGGTGGAGACCTTATAAGAGGTGCCGCGCCAGCCCACACACGCCAGGGGGGGAACATCTCCTGTTCCCCTTGATCTCTTGGTAGATGACAAGGGCTCCTCTTGGAGCCGGAACTCGGGGCCTTCCTGCAGTCTAGTTCATGTCCCTCCTGCTGCCATCGACACTTCTAGCCTTTCCCCCAGGACTAAAGGGAGCAGGCAGAGTGCTCACTCCTAGGTCCCACAAGGACCTGATGTCCCCCAAGACTGTCAGAGAGTGGGAAGGCAGGCGGAGCTGCCCTTTAAACCATGTGGTTCCTTACAGGGTGTCCAGGGAGGGAGCCAAGGTCTGCAGTGGGGCAGAGTGACACAGTGACCCCCTCGACCCTCTCGACCCTGGAGCAGCTGGAAGTGAGGCCCATGGAGGCTGCCACCCACCCTACAGGCAGAGGCTCTGTGTCTCGTCCCAGGGCAGAGGCCATGGAAATAGCAGAAGGTCAGGTCCGGCCCTGTCACCTGCTGGCTGTGTGACCTGGGTGAGTCCCTCACCTTTCTGAGCCTCCTTTGCCTCCTCTGTATTATGCAGGTGACAAAAGTACCTGCCTTTCAAAGTTGCTGTGAGAATGAAAACTGGTACCTGGTAGGTGTGGCACAGTCAGGGGTCAAAAAATTGTCACCACTATTACTGGTCCCCGAGGCCTAACCTGTCCCTCACGTGCCCTGTCTCTTTCTCCTTCTCTCCAGCTCTTCTCGCACAGAGGGCTGGCTCCAGTGAACCAGGGAAGTTGGCAAAGATGGTGGCCCTGCTCCCTCCAGTGCACATACCTGAACCAGCCTGAGAGATCTGTCCTGCACAGGCGGGGACCTTGGACCTGTCCCTCAGATGCCGAGTTCCCTGCCTCCTTCTCTCCCCAGTCCATTTCAAAGCTTGGCCCTCTACAGTTGATGTCTCCTTGCTCAACCCCCTGGGGCCACCCTGCTATCTGAGAACTGCGGCCTCCGGAGGCCCTCTGCCCTACCCCACCACTCACTTACTCATCCAGGGTCCATGTACTGAGTTTCCATCTCTAGGGCCCTGCTAGGGGGTGGCTGGGCTGGTGCCAGGGTCACGGCTCCCAGGTTAACAAAGGGCCGGAGAGCAGGGGCCTTCTAGACTACAGCTTCTCCCAGAAGGATTGAAAGGTCACAGGCCCAGAGGTGGGCTCCAGGGCAGGGAAATCCCGGGGTATCACACCGGTACATGAACCAGGCCCTCCGCTGCCTTCCCCCCAGGGATCTCTGAGGCTGAGACCCCTGGCAGGGTGTGGCTAGGGCGGGCATCGGGGTGAAACCTGGAGCACTGGCCAGCCGGGCAGAAGGGCACTAACCTGCAGCCTTAAGGTTCTCCCAGAGCTCCCTCTGGGTGGGCAGCTGCTCACCGGTGGCCAGGTGGGGTGGGGGGAGTCCTCCCAATGCCCTAACAGGATCTGACTAAGGGTGAGGGTGGGGAGCTGTCCCTCTCCAGGAAGGGGGCGGAGCCTGGGCAGGCCCAGGAGGGAGGTAGGCAGGGGCAGGCACTCACCTGGGGTCTCGAGGTTCTCGCAGAGCTCAGACTTGGCCTCGCCATTGGGCCGGAAGTTGCCCTTTTGCGTGAACTTGTTGGACATGGTGGCGGCGGTGACGACGGCTTTGAGGCTGCGCTTGCGCTTGGGCACGTTCTGCTCCGGGTGGAAGAGGATGACGTAGACCTTGGGCATGTAGAGCATCCCCAGGGACACTGAAGCGCTCAGACTCACTGAGACTGTCAGCGTCGTCGTCTGGATGTACAGCTGGGGACGGGCCAGGGGAGGCGTTATTGCGGGCTCTGCCCTGGCCTCTGGTGCCCTGACCTCTACGCCCTCCCCAGAGGCAGACACAGCAGGGACAGAGTCAGAGACCATCTTGTGTCCCACTGGCTTTGAGCAGAAGGGAGTCATGGTATAGAGTTGGGACTGGACAAGTCCCATCATCGTGCCCCAGTTTCCTCACCTATACGGGCATGATAATTTCAGTACTGTACTTACCTCATAGGGCTGTTGTGAGGATGAAAGACTGATAAATGGTAAGTTATATAAAACCATGTTTGGCACATGGAAAGTACCCAGAAGTGTTTCCCCCTGTTACATGCTATTTGGGGGAGGCACTCCTGAGGAGGGGCCCCAGCCAGACTACAGCTGGCCCTTCTCAGGAGCAGCCCCCTGCACAGGGCTGGGAGCGAGGGGAACCCCTGTGGGTGCCTTGAGTAGCTTCCAGGGACCCTGCCACAGCCCCTCAACCAGGCCCCCCACTCAGTGGCTGCCCCCCAACATGCCACCCTGTGCAGAGCAGGCCATTGGCATGGGAGCCACAGCGCCCAGCGTGATATGGAAGTGGCAGCACAGTCAAAGCTCATTTCACGCTCACTCGCCAGCACTAACGGTGACAGATGTTTAGCAAAATGAAAGTCCATTAATCTGGGTGTCGGATAATCCATTCTTCAATAGTGCAGCCTTCCAGGCAGGGCCTGACAATTCCCACCCACTCCACCTGGGATTCCCTTCCCCGTCTTCTCCCTCCCAATCCCTCAGAGCTCAGCAGTCCCTCTGGCTGGCCCTCAGCCAGGGCGGGGCCAAAGGGAGCTCAGGCTGTGGCCCCCAGGTCTGGGCACAGGGGAGCATGATGTTCTGCCCCCTAAATCTGCTGTTTCGGGGCCTGTGCCCCCTCCCCTGTGGCCCGGCTGATGTGCCACCCGCTCTGGGAAGTTTCCCTGACCTCAGCTCTATCCAGCACCCCATGACACTCTTCATTCCTCGCATCCAGCCCAGCAGGGTCTGACTTGCTTCTTGAGGTCCCAAGGGCCCTGGCTTCCTCTGGTAGCCTCCGGGGAGGAGGGGGACAGGTTTTTGTTCTCATGGTCCTCCCCATCTCCTGCTCCTCTCCATAAATACCACATGACCTGGAACTGAAGGCCTACATTCCAGCCACCCTTCCTCAAGTTTCCTACCTTTGGGAGAGGAGCTGGAAAAGCTCTGGGGTCTGAGAGGAGAGAGCCGTGTGACCCTGGGGAAGTCTCATCCCTCTCTCCCCTCAGTTTTCTCATCAGTGCAATGGGATGATAGCACCTACTTCACCCAAACCATGATGCTATTACCCAAGCACAGACTGCGAAGCCACATAAGAGTTGGGGAAGGAGGCTAGGAGTGTGGAGAGGCTGTTCCACGTTCCACTGTTCAGAAAAATGTCACAGGCCCAGGGGGAAAAGGGCCTGTTCTCCAGTGAGCACACAGACAGCCATACCCCAGTCCTCATGCAAGAACCACACTCACCCATAGCAGGGAGCTGCCTCCTAGCTAGTGGACGAGGAAAGGTCATGGCAAGCCAGTGGGAGGGGGCTGGTGGCCAGGGGAGGAGGCAGGGAGGGGAGCAGGTTCCAGAGTATCACGATAGACTCTTGGATGAAACTGTGGAGGTCTGAGCTAATCAAGAATACGCCTGTTATCTGGGTCTACCTCATTGGACTGGGAGTTCCCTGGGGACAGAGTGTCTCCCTCATTCGAAGGGGATTCCCAAAGGGCAGGGACAGTCTCTCCTTTGACACTGGGGATTCTTGGGTATAGGGATCATGTTTCCATCTTAGGCCCTTTGCCCCCACCTTTTTATGGGGGGGGGGAGGATACGACTGGGCCCTTATAGAATTGGTGAGATGGGGATAGAGGCCCCCCTCTCTGGGCAGAGCTCTGAGTGAGCCCTGCAGTGGACACAGACTTGTGTTGGGGGTCAGGGGCCTGGGTTCCAGATTCCACTCTGCCTTGATCCAGTGTGGGATGCTTAGGCCCTCTACTAACACAGAGTCAGCAACCCGGGCGTGCGACCTGGGCGGTCACACAGGGGCCTGTGCTTAGAAGGGCCCATGCTTGGTTTAATGTTCTGCTGCTGCCATCTTGAATCCTGAATAATTTTTTAACAAGGGCCCTTCATTTTCATTTTGTGCTGTACCCTGAAAACTCTGGAGGTTTTATTAGCATGGCACAGTCCTTGGTGTTTTGTTCTAGTCTGCTCTCCAGCTTAGGAGACTTTCTGCAAACAAAATACAAGGAGGGGGCTGGCCGAATGGCGTGTTGGTTAAGAGCTGGCTTGGGACGCCAGCTCTGAGCAGCAGGGCCCCGGTTCGGATCCCACATGAGGGCCAGTGACGCTGCACCCTCTACAGCTAAGATGCTGAACAACAGCTCGACCTGGAGCTGGGCTGCCGTGAGTGGCCAACGACGGCGTAGGCTGCAGTGAAGCTGCAGTGGGCTGCCATAAGCTACCGTGAGTGGCTGGCAGCCAACGTGAGTGGCCAGCAGCCGGCGTGAGCTGCCAAGGGCCGCCGTGAGCAGCCATCCAGTGGCCAGCGACCTATCTGCCTCACCCAGGAAGAGCACAATAATACCAACATGGGCCGGTGAAGCGACATCCTCCACACTAGACTGAAGAACAAAAGGACAGCAACTTGTCTGTTCCTCTCCCCTGATTCTCCAACGTTGTTCCCCTCCCCCAATTCCCCAATAAAATCTTTAAAAAAAAAAATACAAGGAGGGATGTAAATGGAACAAACCTGGGCAAAGCAGCCCCCCACCTGCCGGGACCCCTCTCTCCCACCATGGGCCCTGGGGGCTCCTCTAGCCACCCCCAGGCTGGGGGTGGCCTGCCCTGTGCACAGCAGAAGTGGGGCTTTGTACCCAAGTCCCTTGCCTTGCCCCAGTGTCTAGAATTCCCACCCCACCACCAGCTTGAGCCTCGTTCTGGACCCCCGTGTGTGAAGGTCCACATTGTCAGCAGGAGGTGGTAGCATGTTAGCCCTTCAGAGAAGCAGTGATCCTCTAGAACCTCAGAACCTACCAGGCACTCCTACAGAGATAAGACCCTGAATGCAGGTCTTAAAAACAGGCAGAATGAGAGGCCACCTTCAGGATGTGATTTCACCTTCTCTCCCACCCACCCATCTCCCAACCCGGAGGTGCCTGAACTGCTGCCATTTCTGCTCCCTTCTTTGGTCAGGCCCTGGCCGTACTCCATTCCCTGTGAGGAATCCTGCATGAAGCCTCTCAAGTCAGTGCTCTCCAGGGAGAAGGAGGCTGTCAGGGCTGGGGCTGGTATGGGAAGACAGAGGTTGCCTTGGGCTGGGGCAAAGGGCACAGAAAGGAGCTGCTGTGGCAGTGGGTGATGGAGTTCCTGTTTTTGGGCGAGGCCTGGTGTGCAGTGTGCTAGGGGCCCTGGTGGGGGCCACTGAGTTCTGCCTGCTCTGTGCTTCTGCCCAGGCTAACCCTGTAGGTACTGAGATCCTCAGAGTGTGTACAAACCGGACAAGCAAACTTCTTCACAACCTGGCCGGCTTCTGTGGCCATGTCCTGCCCAAGGCTGGCTGAGCAGTAACCCCACATGGTGCAGAACCCCGCTCCGATCGGCTCAGGGTAAAGCCGCCCGGCTATGGTGGTAAGCTCTGGAAAGCCAGGCTAATGCTGGGAAATCCAGCCGCATGCTCACCAGAGCAGCACAGACAGCTCCACTCCACACCAGCACCTGCACCCTGGGGGGAGGGGCACAGCAGAGCACCTGCAAACACTTTTGCACACACACATGCCCACAAACACACACCTGTATACACGTGCATCTCTGCATTCACACACACCTGAACTCACAACTGCACACTCATCCCTGACTCAGACACACCTGGTTCACACACATACACCTCTTCATGCACCTGGTTACAAACACATGCGTCCATGCAGATGCATTCACATACATCTGCATACATACCTAAACACAGATACCTGCACACACTCGCACTTACACTCACACATCCATCTGCACATACACTGCTGGGTACACACACCTAATCTGCACACCCATGTATCAATACACACCGCAGCCATGAACCCCTCACCTGCCCATTCCCAATCAATGTGCACACACACCCCCACATGCACGCACATAGACACACACCGCCCATCCACCACTGAACATGCACAAAAAGGAACACACGCATTTGGAAACACACACTCTGTACCCATACCACAACTCCCCGCAACAGCACTGCTCCATTCCATCCATTGCAGGGACGAGTACACACACACACACACACACACACACACACACACACACACACACACCTAGCAGCCAGGCCTACAGCTTCCACTGGGGCATGTTGTAGCTCTGACATGACACAGCACAGATACAGCCCCAGGGTTGCCTGAGTCTCTCTGAAGCCTCGTGGTCTGAACTGCCAGGGACTTCAGAGCTCACTTCCTCCACCCCTTCGTCATGCAGAATCCCAGAGAAGGAGGGGGACATGTCCCACGTCCCACACCATCAGGGCAGAGCTGGGTCTTACGGCCAGCTCTTCATATTGGCATGAAGCCAGCTGGCTGTGTGACCTGGAACAAGGCCCTGCTCCTCTCTGGGCCTCAGAAGAGATGGTCTCAGAGTCTCCTTTTCATAATCAGTGCTGAAGACAGCCTCCTAAAAAGGGAGAAATCAGACGCATGAGGGGTCACCTGGAGAGATGTTGGTGGAGTAAGGGGGGACCCCAGCGTCTGGAGGAGGGGGTCTGATACTTGATACTCTGGTTTGGCAAGAACCCCACTAGAGAGTGGTATGCGGGCAGGCAGCCTGAGTACATTATGGAAGGCAGAGCCAGGGGTTTAATTACCATGCTGTCGGCCTCCCAGCTGGGTACCTCTACTCTCTGAGGTGGCGTGGGAAGGGGCCTACTGGTATTATTGAGGGTAATTTCTCAAACTGCCAGCTTCCTGCAGTGTGGGGCAGCCTCCCCTGCTGGCTTCGTGGGCCCCCTGAGCACTTCAGGGTGGGGCAACTGTGCCTGCACCTGCCCTCAGCAGGGAGGGCCTCCCGCAGACCTGGTGGGAGCTGGAGACCTGGCTCTCAGCATGAGCTGGGCCTGGTGGCCACTCTGGTGGCCTGGAGCCAGGCCTGGTTTCGGACCTCAGCACACACTACCAACCCCAAGGTCTGCTTCTTGGAATCCCTAGCCCACAAGCCCACCACTGGAAGACAGGCCACAGGCCTCCCTCGGCCTGGTCCAAGGCATTCGGAGTACAGAGCACAGCTCCTGCCCTTGAGGAGCTGGAGGAGAGGTGGGCATCTAACAAGGAAGCCCCAGGGCGGGGGAGGTGTCCCAGAGCTGCAGGGGGCAGTGTGGGCTGGGGGCTCCTGAGTTTGACAGAGTAGGGTCACGTCCAGCCATGCTACCTATTGGCTGTATGACCTTAGACAAGTCACTCTGCTTCTCTGTGCCTCCACATCTTCATCTGTAAATGGGGATGGTGATATCTCCTCTAGCCTGCTGTTGTGAGGCCTGGTGGCCATTAGGTAAAGTGTCTGGCATATGACAAGCACCCATCCATCATGGCTGTGGTGTCAGCCTCACTGAAAGCCAGGCATTCCTAAGAGCTCATACCCAGGCTCACAACTTTAAATGCCATCCACAGGCTGACGACATCCCGGTTATGTCTCTAGGCCGGCCCTCGCCCCTGAACTCAGCCATTGACTCAACAGCTGCACTTGGACATCTAACAGGTACCCCAAACTTAGCATGTCCAAAGGGCCTCCTGAGCTCCACCCCACACCGGTTCCTCTATCACCTTCCCCACCTTAGTGTGCAACACTCCCTCCTTCCATCCTCACACCAAACACCACGGTGTGAGCTTTTGTGTCTCCTCTGCGTCTCGCCCCATCAGAAATCCACCAGTCCCACCATCAGACACATCCAGAACCCCCCACTCCTCACCACCCCTGCCGCCAGCAGCTTCCTGTCGGGATTATCCGGTCGCCTCCGTACTGGCACCCTGATCCCGCAGAACCCCACCCAGCAGCCAGAGGATCCTTTTAAACCCACATCAAAGCCCCCCTCACTGCTCACAACCCCACAGTGGCTCCCTTCTCACTCACAGTAAAAGCCACAGACCAGGAGGTCCTTTGGACATGGGTCCTACGCCATCTGCCGTGTCACCTCTCCAACCTCATCCCCATCACCTTCCTCAGCCCCAGCCTCTGTGCAGCGGGTAAACTGCTTTTACACCCATCATGTTGTGTGATTGTTACAATGCCGGTAAGGGCTGCAGGGGAAGGATCGTGGCCCCAATCGACTGGTGGAGAAACTGGGGCAGAGAGGCCACCTGGCTCGCCCAGGATCCCAGTTAGACACAGAGCTCAGACCAGGAGCTGGGGTCCTGGACCCCCATGATCCTCCCTGCTGCTGGCCTCTGCTTCAGTGGCTCCCAATTCTTCACGAGACTCCCCCAGAACCCAGGCAATGCTGTGCTGTGACGTGGGCAGAGTCCACAGCGCCCCTGGGGTGTGCCCAGGATGGCCTGACAGAGCCAGAAGGCACAGCCCCTCGCAGCTTCAGCAGGTAGAGGAAGGGCCCTCGGCTGACACTGCCAAGCCCCAGGCTCCTGGGTTTCAGGGCAGCTTGGGACTGGGGAGAGAGGCGAGAGTTCCTGATGCATCTCCCACCTCAGGGACCCATTGGGATCCTGTGAAAGCAGAGAGGGGGCCTGACAGAGGAGAAAGAGAAGGGAATGGACAGAAAAGAAAACAGGGCTGAGCAGAGAGAGAGGTAAGGGAAAGGAGAGTCTAGAAAAGAATGAAGAATGACAAAGTGTGCAGCCTCCCAGGCTGACAGAGAAGAGAGAGGAAGAAGAGAGAAAAGGGGGAGGAAAGGAGGTGAAGAGATGGGAAGGAGAGAGAGAAGGGGTGGGAGAGGCAGAGATGGAGAGATGTGGAAAGAGACGAGAAGCTAAAAAGAGGGAGGGAAGGAAGGAGGGAAGAGAGAGATAGGACAAGGGGGAAAAAGGGAGCGGAGGCAGGGAAAGGGAAATGGAGGAAGAGGAGAGAAAACCCAGAACCTAGAGCAAAAACTCGCAATGGAGAGAAGACGGGATGAGGCATGAAAAAGGCAGCTCCGGAGCCGGGTGGATGGGCAGCCCCTGGAGGCTGCCCCCTGCCCTCAGACCTCACCCCAGTGTCCGTGCCCCCCCCCAGCCCCCACACTCACCTTGTCCGCTGACTGAGAGGTACCAAAGAAGATGGGGATGAAGGCAAGCCAGACAATGCAGGTGGTGTACATGGTGAAGCCGATGGGCTTGGCCTCGTTGAAGGTCTCTGGCACCCCGCGCGTCTTGATGGCGTACACCGTGCACGTGACCATGAGGAGCATGCTGTAGCCCAGCAGGCAGATGAGCGACAGGTCCGAGATGTCGCACTTGAGCACGCCCCTGGCGAAGCGGGGGTCGAGCGTCCGCTGGTCCTGGAAGTCCACCACAGAGTGGGAGGGGTCCACCACAAACCACACGCAGATGCCCAGCAGCTGCAGCGAGATGAGGCTGAAGGTGATGGCCAGCTGCGAGGCGGGGCTGATGAAGCGCGGGGCGCTGACCGACCGCTTGCCCTGCTCAAAGATGCGGTAGATGCGGTTGGTCTTGGTGAGCAGGGCCGCATAGCTGATGCTCATGCCAAGCCCCAGGAAGATTCGGCGCAGAGAGCAGGTCCCCAGGTCAGGCTCCGCAATCATGAGGAAGGTGGTGGTGTAGCACAGGAAGATGCCCGCCAGCAGCACATAGCTCAGCTCACGGCCCGACGCCTTGACAATGGGCGTGTCATTGTAGCGCACGAAGGTGACCACCACGAAGAGCGTGGCCGCGATGCCCACCACGGCCAGGAAGAGGGGCAGCACGGCCCAGGGCGAGTCCCACTCAAGCTTGATGATGGGGATGGGCCGGCAGCCGGTGCGGTTCTCGGTGGGCCGCATGTCATAGGGACATGTCTTACAGGTGTAGCGGTCCACCTGGTACTGGTACCCTGTGCAGGGCTCACAGTGCCAGCAGCAGGGCATGCCCTTCACGGTCTTCTTCCGCTCACCTGGCTGACAGGGCAGGCTGCAGATGGAGCGGGGCAGCTGCTGCCCACTCCCCGGCCAGTGCATCCGCTCTATCTGGCAATGACAGCACGGAGGAGCAGGCCTCAGGACATGCCCCCAGTGTCCTGCACCGCCCCACCGGTCGGCACCCTGTAGCCCCACACCCAAATCACCCAGTTACTTAGCAAAAAACCCAGCTGCCCGGGCCCCACAGAGACCTACCAAATCCAACAGCTGGATCTAAATAAGCTCCCCTACATGATTCCCAGATGGTTGACCTGTGGGGAATCTGGGGAAACGGAGCTCAGAGAGCAGCAGTGACAGGCCAGAGTCACACAGCAGAGCAGAGGGCTCAGGAGTCCTGATTCCCAGCCCCTTAAGACCTTGCTACTCACCAGTGGCCCCCAGACCAGCAGCAGCAGCGTCACCCAGGAGCTGGTTGGAAAAGCGAAATTTTGGCCCACTCCAGACCTACTGACTCAGAATCTGAGTTTTAACAAGGCCCCCAGGGGATTCAGGAGCACACTGGAGTGGGAGAAGGGCTGCCTATGGCTCAGCCCATGGGGCCCCCTCCAGGAGGACAGGGAGCTGGGGTCCGCAGACAGCAACCAACAAAGGTTTAATCAGAGGATACTTAAGGCGTGCCCAGGGGTTAGTGTTTTTTTACACCTTGCTCTAAATTAGTGCTAGTCACTATCTCGTGTCCCTGAAGACACAATCCCTGTGAGCAAAAGAACCACAGCCCCGCGAATGTGCTACAAAATTCTGGCTAGTTAGCGACAGGCCCCAGAAGAGCTCCAGGCTCTGTGCAAAGGGAGCTGACCACACTTGGGAGCCATATTCAAAGCGTCCGTTCTACATGAAGTGACTCTTAGGACGAGCTTATGCTTAGACAGCAGTGGGCCTCCCTGGACCGGTGCCACCTATGTGCTGGGTGCTCACTCCTAGAGAAAGAATAACCAGTTGGCTCCAGGGCAGAGGGGAGGGTTTCAGAGCTGAGGAACAAGGTGGGGGTGGGGTGGAGAATCCAAAGATGGCCTTATGGTAGGTGGGAATGAAACATTGAGGAAGAAGCTTGTCCTGTAGCTCCCTGGTAGCCAAAGACCACGGCAATGACCAGTGCCACTATCCTGCTGGAATCACGAGGCAGGACAATCCCTGTGTACCGGAGCTCTGAGACTGCTGGGGAAGGGCCTTTCCCGAGAAGACACAGGGTGACGGTGGGTGTTCTGGAAAATTCTAGCTCCAGTGGCGAGAACAGTGAGTGTGGTAAGACTCGGGGATTACAGTTCTGGCTGTGCACCCTTGAGCAAATGCTTCGGCCTCTCTGAGCCTTCGTTTTCCATCTGATCCAATGATAGCAGATATAAAGCCACTTTGCCCTCTGTAACTTAGGGTAGCTTCCACTTAGAAGTCATAATGCAAACTCTTTTATTTCACCAGAATGCCAGCCCCACGAGGGCAGGGGCTTCGTGTTTGCTTCCCTGCTGCCTCTCCAGCCCCCAGACAGGGTTGACACATAGTGGGGGCCGGTGGATCTCTGTGGAATCCATAAGAGAACTCATGAGTCCGGGCACTGGCTATGAGAGGCCTCCTCAGACCCTGGGAGAAGACAGTGAGCAGGCAGGGGAAGACCTGTTCCTCGGCCCCCTGAGCCTTGCCTGATCTGTGGTCCCCACAGCACAGCCCAAACTGAGCGCTCACGGAGAAAGTGGGGAGGATGTGGTTAAGGTCCAGGCCCTCCTCATCTCCTCCCACCCCAACTCCATGCCAGTGGGGGGACCTTGTATTACTAGAGAGGAGACTTTCAGGGGAGGAGTCTGCTACAACCCGCACACACCCACCCCCGGCCTTCACTTATCACATCTGTAGCATGGAGTAATAATAGTGCCTGCCTGCCTCATAGGCCTGTTGTCCTCACAGTGAGGTCACATGCTTAGGACAGCAGATATATACAGCAGGTGCTCAGCAAGCATTAGCGGCGGCGGCTGCGGCTGCTGCTTGTGAACTGAGTCACCGGCCCCCACTGCTCCACCCACTGCACCAAAATGAGACATGGCTCCACGTGGGGTACCGTCCCACTTTGCCAAGTGCCCTGTTCTGTCTGTCTGTCTCTGCTCAGCAACCCAAGGACTAGCCCCATAGGAATGGGCCCTGTCCCCATAGTGCTGTGTGGCCTTCAGAATACCCCTCAGGCTGGGGTTCCTGAGATCCTTCCTCTGACTTAGAGGATTGTTGGGCAGAACGTGCTTTGAAGAGCTCCAGGGGCTCATCACTAGAAAAGATTATTACAAGAGGAGACAGCGGGGACATCACGCAGCTCTGCCAGGATCGGGAACAAGGACAGCCGAGGCCAGACATGGACCTGGGCCTCTGGAGCCTCTCTGGTCCATCTAGATGTCACATTGTGCCCACTCGAGCACAGCTCACCCCTTCACCTTGCAAGGTAGGGACCAAGTCCATAGGCGTTTCCTTGGGGAATAAACCACAGGTCCTTTCTCTCTAAAAACACTGCTCTGTTTCACAGCTGGGGACACTGAGGGCCAGAGAGGTAAAGCCTCCATGTCCCTGGGACAACTGGGAGCTAGGAAAGCGTGGCTAGGAGGACCCAGAAGAAGTTCCTCCCCGTCCTCCCACAATACCCAGAAAAACGACGGCCTTCCAGGGTGGTTTAACAGTGCTGGAGAACTAACTCGCAAGCAGCTCCCTACTGAACACCTGACTGAGCCCTTTGCCTTAAGACATTGTCCTCTCTCCAAATACAGGCCTCTCCTCCTCACCTTACTGTCCCGCACCCACCAAGCCTTTGAGCTGTTCCACCCCAGAGCATCGTCTATCCAGAGCTTTTCGCCTGCGAGCGGGCAGCAGGCAGGAAAACCCCAGGCCAAAGGACAGGGCAGGGCAGAAGTCCAGCTGCCCCTCCCCCCGTTTGGGGTTGGGGCTTAGGGGGTCGGGAGGGGAACTTGGAAGGAAACTCCATCTTGGCTGCAGCAATTCTGGAGGTCAGGCCTACTGAGGTGCTGCCTCCCCTGAGTTCCCTCTCCTGGGGGTTGGGGTGGGGTGAGCGGCTCTCTCCATCCCCTGGGGCCCCTCCCTGCCCTCCTGCCAGGCACTTACTCTGAGGTGCAGGTGGTCAGTCCAAGAGCCGATGACCTTGTATTCAGCAGAGCCATTGCGCAGCTGGTACTGGTAGATGTCATAGCGCCCGGGCGCGTCTCCATTCTCATTGAAGGTCACGGGGTTTCCTGCAATGCCTGTGGGGGCCGGTGGGTGTCACAAAGTTTCTTTGCTGAGCCTTTACCCAAAGGCTGGGAGGATTATGAGCCCAGGGCACAGACCCCCCCTGGGGAAGCCCCTGCATGGAACATCTGGGGAGGTTTCACCCCTTGGAAACACCTGAAGAGACCCCTCAGTCCCACCCCACAGAGCCCAGGACCCCTTCCCCTGGCTGCCTGGCCCAGGACACCTGGGTTGGGTGGTGCTGCGCGCTGAGTCCCAACCTGAGAAGTTGACGCTGCGGATGTACTTGAGCAGCTGGGTGCCGTCCACGGGGTCCATGCGCGGGCAGAGCCCCACGCGGCCTGGACACAGGTCTCGGTGCATAGCGTGCAGGGCGTGGCCCATGGCGTACACAGCGTCGATCACAAACTGCACCTTTCCCTCCTGCTCGTAAGCTGAGTCCTGCCCAATGCGCTCGCGGTCTGCAATAAAACGCCCAGAGGGGGGCGCCCATGAGGCCCACCATCTTAGCATAGTGTGGTGGGAACCAGAGCAGCCCCCGGGGCCCAGGAAGGTGGCACAGCCCGTCCCAGCGCGCCCAGGTCTCCTGGCTCCTAGCCCCTGCCTGCTCCATCGCCCCAGGAGATGATCTGGTGGAGGCGCCTGGGGGATAGCCCCAAAGGATGAAGGGGAGGGCCCACTGCTTTGACCACTGTACCACTGGACCCTGTGCCCCAAGGCCCCAGAATAGCCAGGGCAGATCCCGTTGTCACTGTCGCCCTGTGGCTGTGGCGTCTGCCTTCCCGCCCCCAGCCTGGCCTGGGCTAATCATGGGAGCAGCTGGCCCTGGCACAAACAGGAAATCACTGGGACAGGAGCTCTGTCACCAAGGGCAGCTGTGCCCCCACAGCAGCTCACCCATGGGCAGCCACTCCAGTCAGATGACACTCCCTCACACACAGGGTACAAGTGGGGAAACTGAGGCCCAGAGAGGGAGAGAGCCTGGCCACAGTCCCTCAGGTTTCCGGACCCAGGCTTCCTGATGCCCTCAATGGCCTTTAGTGGCCCCAGACACCAGAAGTCACCATTGTCCCCACCCACTCCTCTCCCAAATCAGTGACCCCTCCCCCCAATACGGCAGGGAGAGTAAACTTTGTAAAATGGGAACCCACCCTCAACCCCTTCTCGCTGCAAACTGCGGTGGCTCCCCAGGGCTATGGGCCTAGGGCGCTAGCCTCCCATCCTCATCCCCTGGACTCTGGGGTCACCCAACCCTGTGCTGGGCCCTGTGCTGGCCCCTTGGCTGCCTGAGGCCTCCGCATCCTCTTGGTAAAAGGGAATCGTAATCCTGCCCCACAGAGGTGCTGTGAGCCTTAAACGAGATGAGGTATGGAAAACACCTGGCACAGGGTAGGTGACTAAGCCACATGATTGTTGTGCTAAGTGGTCAAAATGAGGGGTTTCTGAGGCGAGAGACAGAGGTCCCTGGGCCAGAGCAGGCTGGGATGGCTTTCTGGAGGAGGAGGCACTTTTCCTGGCCTGGGTCCTGGGTGACAACGCTGATGAAGAAGAAGGGCTGCTGCTAACTTCTGTGGAGCACCTTCTCTGTGCCCAGCATTGTTCTAAGCTCTTTATGTATATTAGCTCATTGAAGTATCAAATCATGCTGTGAGGTGAGGAATTACCCCATTATAGAGATGAAGAAACTGAGGCACAGAAAAACTCAGTGACGTTCCAGGACCATGCAGAGCTGGATCTGAACCCAGGTACTCCGGCTCCAAGCCTGTGCACCACACTATGCTTGAGAGGTTGCAAAAGCCGGATTTGGGACAGGTAAGTGAGGAGGGGAGGGGAGAAGAGAAGAGGGCAGGGACTCTGAGGTGGGGACATGGGGGCAAGAGGATGGCAGGGTTGGGGGAGAGGATGGCAGAGCACTACGGAAGCCCGGTTTCCCCTCCTGAGGCCACAGCCCCTGCACGCAGCATGGCCGGCAGCATCTTCCCTCAAAGCCAGGACAAGGAAATTAGCCCTTATAAGCCACCCCACGCCCTGTCACCCTGCTACAGGGCCAGTGCCACACCTGCCAAGGTATTTCCCCAGCAGATAGCAGGGTGAGGGGCTGTACCTGCGCCCAGCCCCACGGGCCACTGGCCTGAGCCTCTAATATCTGTTGTGTGGGAGCCAGGTTGGGCTGGGTCAGCACCAGGCCCTGACCCCCTGGGAATTCCAGAGGTCACTGTCCATCCCCCTCCTTTGACACCTCACAGGCAGACACAAGGTACAGGGGAACACACTGCTATACCTGTGGTCTACTCCACCATCTAATCCCCTCAAATCCAGAGGAACACCAGGATGTCAGATGACCGGGCTGTGGCATCTGTCACCCCTCAGCTGGCCAGGTTACTCAGCTGACCCTGTGGCCAGGCCCCCACCCCATTCTCAGCCTGGCTCAATACAGATACCCACAGATTGCTGAGTGGACACTAGAAATCATGGGACCACAATGCTAGGGATCGCAGGACCATGGGAATCCTCTGCTCCAATACTGTCATTTTACAGAAAACTGAAGCCCAGAGAGGGAAGTCCCAGGTCACACAGCCAGCCTCTTGGTGACAAGATGAGCCCTCGCAGCTCCAGCCCCTTGCCCTGCCCTCTACCCCAGAATGCACTTGACCTGAGGCCCCAGGAGTTCCCAGCTCACCCCCCGCGTTCCTGCATTTTTACCCAGCGAGATTCACTGTGACCTGCCTGCCCAGGGCTCCCATGGAGCTGGTGGCATGTCTCTCATATCCCTGTCTTGGCCACCAAGACCCTATGACTTGGGGTCAGAGATCAAGAGTCACCATTACTCAGATTGGACAGTTTGGGGACAGATGTCCAGTTGGCTCTGGGGGCACTGTTTGGTCCACATAGCCCACAGCCCTATGGTGTGGCCTCGGGGCTGCAGATTGGGTAGGCACCAAGGCCACAGCCAGCTAAGCCCCTCCTACCCGCTACCACTGCACTGCACTTGCACAAGACTGGGCTGAAGCCACAGCTCCACCAACGCTTCTAGCTGTGTGACCTTGAACCTGTCACTTCATCTCTCAGGCTTCAGTTTCCTCACCTGCAAAATGAGGATAATGATGGTACTTACCTCAGAGGGTCAGGATCAGGGCCCGATGAGGACTAATGGGTCAATACTCACAACAGGCCATACAGGGAGGCCTGGTGCTTGCCAAGCGCTACAGAAGTTGGTTAAATACGAGGGTTTTACAGACACAGGCCCCGCCCTGCCTGGGAGCTCTGGGCCAGCAGAGCTTTGCTAACAGGCAAAGCTATTTCTAGGCCAAGGCACAGAGACAGGATGAATGTGAAAAGCAGATTCTCCAGCTTCACCAGCCTGCCGTCTGACCAAGGCCTCTGATCACACGGTTCTGAGAGCTGGGGAAGAGATGAAAGGGACAATCCTGTCCCCAAAGGGCGACAGAGGGGATAGGGTGGCCTGGAAAGCCCCTGCCCTGGACCCCACGATCACTCCCCAGCCCCCAGGTCCTGTCCTCTGCAGCCTGAAGAAGGTAAAACTCAACTGCCCCGCAGTTCCCATCACACCCTCGGTTCAAATGGATGAGAAACTGAATTATTAACCAGGACGGAGGGGGAGGAGGCTGCAGCCACTGCGGAGAGGAGGCAGCTCTCTCCCAAGGCCAAGGACACACCCAAGCTGCTGGGCCCTGGCTGCACCTCTGTGACTGAGCTGCCCTCAGCCTCTCCTCTCCCTGTGTCCCGACGGGTCCCTCCACAGCATGTCCGGCTGAAACATCCATTTCTGGCCCATTCAGGTCCTGGACCAAGTGTTCTCACTGGGGTTATGAAGCTGCCTGTGCCCACACTGAAGCGAGGATGACCCCACAGGAGCACTGTCACACCAGGGGAGCCTGCCTCTGCCGGAGGAGACTCCTCAGGGAAGGGTGCTGGGGTCCTGTGGGCCCCCCATGGCTCTTGAGCACTGTCGCCTCCAAATCTCCACCCCAGAGTTGTCATGGTGCTAACCATGGACTTCTAGAGACTTCTCAACACTTTCACATCCTTGACTTTTGTCTCAAGTCTCTCCCCAACTACAGTCACATGACCCACAAAGGACCTTTACTTGAGCGTGCCCTCTACACACACACACACATCCCTCAAACCCTGAGGGCCCTGCCCCCAAGCCCCACAGGAAGCAACAGTGGCAGAGCCTAAGTGCACGCACATTTGGTGGGGGGTGCAGGAATCACAAACAAATCAAACAAGGACAGGACGCTCTGTGCTGAATGCCTGAAGCTGTGCCCATAACCAGTGCGGCTCTCCACACGGCCCCTGGCTCCCCAGCAAATAACCCAACAGCATGGCTGCCGCTCACCGAGAGCCTTCGCCTTCGCAGAGGAGGTAACAAGGTTTGCAGGTGGTCGAGTGACGTACCCAGAGTCTCACAGGAATCCTAGCACCTAGTAGGTGTCCATACATACCTGGGGATTAGCCTGGCTGGTTAAGTCCAGGGCTGGGATTTGAACCCGGATCTCTCTGACTCCAAAAGATTTTCCACCATCCTGAACTGTCCCTCCCCTTCTTCTCCCTCCATGCAGCCCCTGACCCGTTTCCTTCACCCTGTGCCAAGCGTCAGGCCAGGCCTAACCAGGAGTGAAGGATTCTTGTCTACAGGGCTAGAGCAGGTGGGTGGCCACAGAGGGAAAGGGGTCAGAAAATCCCCTCTTATGGGAGGGTGGGACCCCCAGGCGCAGGCAGGGGCCCCCCAGTTGTGGGAGAAAGCAAGACACACATTTCTGAGAGTTAGTGAAAGAGATAAATTCCAGACACACAGCAGCAATGACAGCAGCAACAGTTTGAAGATGTCCTAATTGTGTCCCGGGGCACAGTGAGCCGGAGATGTGTTTGGCTCTGCCACCGATGACAGCCAGCCGGGGAACCATTGGGAAAGGATTTTCTCTGTCAAAACCGGGCAGCTGTGGTTACTACGGTGACTGCAGCCTTTGTCTGCAGGTTGTAAATTGTAATTGAAATGAGTTTTCAAGGTTGAAATAATCAGAGCTCCTCCTTGACTCTCCCCTCACCTCTCCACAACTCACCCCGCCCAGTACAGTCCTCCTGAGTCCACACACACACACACACACACACACACA